TGGGGGAGAGAGGAAATGAAGTTAGGGTTGAGGGTTTGGGACGGGTCGGGTAAACGCGAACGGGTTTGAAAGTTTTGGGAATATATTCGGTCGGTTAACCGCTTTTTTCAGGTCGGTTCGAGTCGGTTCGGTCGGTTTTTTCGGTTTGAACCGAACCATGCTCAGCCCTACTTGTTAGACATAGATGAGTTAAAAGCATTTAGCAAATATTCTAACAAAATGTTGTTCATAGTAAACATACGATGATTATTTTTATTCTACTTGGATTTCTCCATAGTGTGCACAATATAGACATCATCTATAATTTCCCATAAATCAAAGTGTTTAGATTGAACAAAAAGTTTAAATCTAACGCACCATTGGGCATAAGGAAAATTATCTAACCTAGGAGCAATATTAATGGCATAACCTAAACCATGCATATCCATAATATAAAAGGCAAGCAAGATACAAATAAAAACTCAAAATTAGATTAGCACAATAAGCTAACTTGGATCTTTAACTCAAGGCGATTAGACCTTAAATCAAAGAGCACCAAGCTCTGATACCAATTGTTAGACCCTAGAGGGGGGGGTGATTAGGGTCTTATGCTAATCTAATCCGATTAAATGCCAATTAAAAATAATTAACAACTATATTCTTGCAAGATAGGTATACAATCTATTATGGGCAAGAATATGCAATATACACAAAGTGATATATCCTATATGATGAAATATATGCAAGGATATATAAACAACACAAGGGTAAATAATCTAAACTAGATAGTGGGCAATATAATCAACAAGCAATATACAAAGGCGATATAAGATATGAACATAAAAGGAAGTACGCCAATGCAATCACAAACAAACAATATGATTACGGAGTTCGGTCCCCACTGCCTACGTCTCCGCTCCTCACCTAGAGGAGATCTCCACTATCACAATCGGGTTTTCTACGTCCACCCGAATAACGTTTACACCTCATAATACAATCACTATGCAATCACACCTCACACACTAAGTGTTGGTCCTAGCCCGTGTCCTCCTCCTCAAGTGCTCGGTTATAACCTCTCCCTAGGCACGTCAACCGACGCCACTCCTCTTGGATTCGATCCTGTCTCTCACCACACACTCCTCACTCGGTGTACAAGAGTATTACAAAGTGATTTAACAATTAAGCACAATATAGCAAATGATTGTTCTCTCTAACAAGGTGAGAACTCAATTAGGCTCAACTCAATGTCACACTATCCCACAACCTAATTATATAATGTATGCAAATACAATAAGCTCAAATGGGTGTGTGTAAACAATGAGCAGAAAACATCAGCTCAGAAAATAGCCGTTAGAGTGCAACGGTCATATAGTCGGTCGACCGGAAATTCTGTCGGTCGACCGATGGAAAAGTTCGGTCGACCGACGGAAAATTCGGTCGACCGTTATCTAGGTCGAAAACAAGAAACCAAGCATGACTTATCCGGTCGACCGGTGCGGTCGACCGATGGAGCTTTTCGGTCGACCGGACCGGTCGACCGACCAACTCTCTGGACCCCAATGACGAAAAAACAAACGAGCGGTCGACCGGTGCGGTCGACCGAAAACAGACATTTCAAAACCTGATTTTAAAGCTGACTTTTAAGACTTTGGAAAAATGTTAAAAATAACAAATGAAGTCCAAAAATAACGAAACTTTGGGAAATGTATATAAACATGTAAATGAACATGTTACAAAAAGAATTTTCCAAATTACATTTCCCATTTGTGAAGAATCATCATTTTGCAAAATAGTTCAAAACACGAAAATGTAAACATGTGAAATTTGATATTTTGGTTAAACCATATTTTAAAACTTTGCACAATGATTATTAGACTTAATAAAATATGTATATGATTATTGTTAAGTCCAAAAACAATGAATACCATATTTTCACAAAATTGCATATTCTATGCAATATTTTCAAAAACATAATTGTAAATATGAAATATGTGACTTCATATTTATAAACATGAAAACCCAAAACATATGTATGTATATATATAAAACTATATATATATATAGAAACCAAAATTTGTGTATATATATATAACTATATATATACAAAGAAACCAATAAATGCGTGTGTGTAGATAATTGAGCTTAGAGTACTTAACACACATAATATAAATCCTAAACTAAATTACCCAAGCTAGATCTTGATCTTCAATAAGCTCTTTTAGGTAATCTCGCGGATGAATCTTTAACTTGGATCTTGAACTTTGAATAGTAAGGCTTCACCGACATTCCGCCAACCTCCTTTGGATATGATCGTTGAAGCTCTATTCCATCCATCCTCCAACTACGTTGTTTGTCTACAATACATAGGAAAACACAAATACTAGACAAAAAATATTAGTGGTAAATTGTTTGTTAAACATCATCAAAACAAAAAGGCCAACAGTGGGGAGCGGAGACGTAGGTCGGAAGGACCGAACTCCGTGATCATATTGTTTGTTTGATTATCACATTGCGCACTATCTCATTTGTTAGTAGTTCATATCTCATTTGTTTAATTTCATATACTTGCTCATATCTCCTTGAATATCATTCTTACAATAGTTCATAATTAATAAGTTTTAATTTAGCATTAATATCGGATTAGATTAGCAAATATCATATTCACCCCCTATAGGGTAATCAATAGACATGTATGGCGGACAAAATGCGAGCAGTGTTAGGAGTAGCTTCCAACTCATTGCCCAAAGGGAATCTTAAATTGAAGTGGTTGAAAGAGGCCTTCTCAGAGCCATTGCCTATTGATGCACCGCAGATATTGGTTGAGTGTCATGCACGTGCATATATTATGCACGTGATCGGTTCAATATTGTTTCTCAATTCGAGTAAAGATAAAGTGCTTGCAAGGTATGTGTATTTGTATTCTTGAATCTGTATTTAATTGAATTAGCTTCTTTTAATAATTTGTAACACGTTTTATGAACATGATAGGTGGTTACCACTCCTCAAAGACTTTGACACTTGACGTTTTAGCGTATCTATGTAGAAAAATGTCCAAGGTGGCACTTTTACAAAACAACGACTTCAAAGGGTATCTAATATTACTGTAAGTTTGGGCGTGGGAGAGACTTCATTTGAAGCCAATATTATGCATTCATATACAATTAAATAGACAAATTCTACTAGAATCCAAGTATTTATTTCTTAATGTAGCAAATATAATTATAGTTATTATAAGAGATACTAAATTTTGAAAACAACACAGATAGAACGCCCAAAAATGTGTAATGAAAAGGTTGAAATGAAAGGGTTGAAATGAAGGTTTTTCAGGTAGTTATTTCCCCACAGAAATGAGCTTAACTGTGTAATAAATGCTGGGTTTTTTCTTTTGTTGGTCTTTTAATTTTAACGATATGCTAATAATATGGGTGATATTCTCTAGTTCGAAAGGAAGACACTCGGTTTCTCAATCGCCTACCATCGGCATGCATAGAATACCCAGTTATATGGAGAACCAGAGTTCCTCTTATATGTTTTGAGATTATAGAGATGCATCTCCCAAATCGCTTGCTTCGACAATTTGGTCGTGCACAACATGTTCTAGAATTTGTTAAAAAAAATAGAGAGCAAGACAAATGAGCATCAACAATACATATATAGATAGAATGATCGACATTTTTATACTGTGGAGCAGATTGATCCAACTCCCCGAAAATTAGATTACTTCACATGGTATTGGTGGATAACTCGCAGATAGATAATCCATGCGACCACAACTTTGATCGATATTAAGCTGCAAAAAGGATACATGCCCAAGGCTATAGATGAGAGAGAAAAATTTGTAAGTATTTTCAGAGATAATTTAAGGTCCATTTGTTTGGTATTCCTCAATATTGTTAACATGTATTTTTTCAACTTAATTGCAAATAGCAGCTGTAGATGAGGTTGAAGCCATTGCAAATCGTGGCATAGAATTTGCCCGAGCAGGTATAGAGAGTTCATATCATCCATTTTGTATTTTTGAATTTTAAAGTATTTTCCTATTTTGGATTTTGAATTATTTATCACAAGTACATATCTCGAAGCATAACAACATGTATCAATATATCAGTCAATAGTGCGGAGGGTTTGCAAAACCTTAAGACGAGCTCACAAAGATCTTCATGATGGACGAGAGGTCATGCCACAAGAAAATGTCAATATCGTATACACACGTCGGCCACAACAACAAAGACAAGGACGTAATAGAAACAACGTTGAAGCCCAGCCTTTGCAACATGTAGACGATGAAGCCAAACCTTTGCAACATGTAGACGATGAAGCCGGACCATCACAACCACAAACGCAACCGGATAACAAACTCATCCAAGCTCGGGATCGTGGAGATGGAGGAAGACGAGGACAGGTCCGAGTAACAAGAGAAAGGAGGAGGAGAAGAGCTCTTGAATGTATGTAAACTAACTATTTTCGTTATCTACTATACAAACCTATGTTTGGTATGTTATTTGTGTCTTGACTTTATTCCAATATGTACCAAGATAGTATGTGAAGTATACTTGAAATAATTTGTGCTAAATTATTTATTGTGATGTGTGGTGTGATGAGAATGGTTATATTACGATATATATGGATGTGAGACGGTTATTGGATTTGTAAATGAGTTCGTGGTGTGATGTGTGGTGGGAATTTGAAATGCAAATGTGGTTTTGTTAGTTTTATTGCGATATGTATCGATGTGAGATAATTTTTGGATTTGTACAGGAAATACACAAAATTAGAGATGGTTTTTTTATTTTTACAGGAGGTAGACATGCACGTAAAACATGCATGTGAGGCTGCCTAGGAAATGCACGAGACTACTCAGCAAAATCGACCATTTTCTATCCAGGCGTGTCGAAGTGAGCAAAAACTAGGTCCGATATTCGCTAAAATTGCCACCCCCCCCCCCCTCAGGCTGATTTTGCTAATATTCTTTGAGAAATGGTCCATTTTAAAAATTTGTCCTTTCGCATAAACCCTCAAAAATGCGAGAAACCATAAACCCCCCAAATTTCGGCCCCCGCTCTCGTACCCAGGAAAATGTCGAATCTCCGCCGCCTCCTCCTACCTTTCTCACTCCCCCCGCCACTCCCAAACGCCTAACCCTAACCCTAATCCGATCACTCTGCTCCTCATCTCCCTCGCGCCATATCAAACAATCTCTTACCCCGTCAAGCCCAAGGACCCGCGAGCCCCAACAACCCACGCAGACCAGGAACCCAGACCCCGCGCCCCCTCCGCGATCCGACCGGGTCCCTCCACCCTCGTTCCGGTCGTGGACCGCGCGAGACGCGAGGTTCGTGAAAGGAGTGCCCTCGTTTCGATCTCGCCGGTGGCGTACCCGTCTAGGGTGGCGCCGCTGCCGGAGGATCGACGGAAGGAGGAGGAGGCGGAGGGGGATGAGGAGGTGAGGAGGGAGGGGAGGAGGATTGAGAGAGGGGAGGGGAGGGTTAGGAGCTACTTTGGGTTGCAGGAGGAGGAGGAGAGAATTCCTTTTCCCAGGATTATTAAGCAGGAGAAGAGGCCGCAGAAGGTGGTGATGGAGCTTTCGGCGGCCATTCGGGAAGTCAAGGTCAGGATTTTGATTCTTGTGGGTTGGTCCTTTTTTCATTTCTGGCAGAAAGATCGGATTTTTTTTACATTGATAGTCTAAAATAGTTAAGGCTTACAAATGATATAGTACATTGGAGGTGGTGCTAATTCACAGGGCACTAACCAGGTTACACAGTTAAATTATTGGTGTAAAGCAAAGACTTGTAGTGGAAAGGACTAGCCGTGACTGTATAAGAATATAGCGCAAAAACCGTTTTGGTGGTGTTCTAGTGAACTTGCACCTCAGTTAACAGTTTGATGAAGAACGTGTCAGGCAATGCAATTCAATTTTCTATATTGGATATTCACTACAAATTTGCCCATGACTTTCCCTCCTCTTTTTTTTTAATTTTTTTTCTGGTTAGCATTCCAGACCTTAGCAACATCTCACAAGCAAAATCAAGCATGGGATAGATGTAAAGTTTGTGCCCTGCTAAACCCTTGATTCCAGCTCTCCACTTAGTGGCTTTTTTTTTGCTTGTTCTCTAAAAATATTTAAGCATTTTTTCTACAAGGAAGGAGCTACAACAAAGTCATTCTTTGGTGGGTGGAAAGAAGCATACAAATGCGTCCCTCAAGTGTTTTGGGGATTTAGAGCCCCATATAGATTGTGTGGAGTTTATCCACTGCATAAGCATACAAATTTTCTGCAGTTAATTTACCTCATGAAATATTGTTGAATTGTATTTCATTAGACATTACTCATTAGTAATAGTTGAACCTCATAGGCTTATGAGTTCTCATTATTTTGTGATGTTGTTCTTGCATTCTTAGGCATATTATTTTGATCTCAGTGACCACAGATAATGAAATGTAAGCTCCAAGTGCAACTACAGTAATTTAACTTTTGGAAGACATGTTTCCTGTAGTCTTTTGACCTCTTGTCTTTATTTCATAAACAAGGTGCTGTTAGATTTAATCCAGATTGATTATGTTTGTAAGAATCTTATCTGAGGTTGTACTTTAGGTTGTTGCCCTTGTATAATGATTTCAAACCGGATAACAGGATATCAGTATATCCATGTCCATGTTTATTTAGGATCTTTTACTAACACTGTACCTGCCTGTGGGAATTGCTGGGTTGTACGCTAAATCAGGATGTCACTTGAGAATGTGCAGCTATTTTCTTGGCCATCCTATCTTAATAACTAAAAAATCTTTCCACTTTGTTTAATTTGTTGGCTATGTTGAAATTTCATTCTCACTGATTTCTGTTATTTCTAGTCACTGTCCAGGCCAATGCCAAGAGCAAGTTCACTGAGACAATTGAAGCTCATGTTAACTTGGGAGTGGATCCACGTCGCAGTGACCAGGTCCGATTTATTTATCTTTGAATATTCTTGCTAATTTAGTTTTGTGCAAACTTGTTGCATGAGAGGAGCCTCTAATATAGGCTTATTTGTTCTTCTTGAAGATAATATTCCTAACCATGCTAAAAATCTCATATATGCTCGTACAATCTTGCACTCCAAATATGTCAATCATTTTATTTAGGCATGGATATTTAATTCATTTGAAATAAGGAGCAGTAAAATCCTCATATTGATTCATTATTGAAAATGTGGCAAATTGACCAACCATAAATAAGATCGCATGTAGTGTCCACTTCATGTTCAATACAACAAAAACATGCCTTTATGTGAAATTTTTGGGATAGGTTACATGAGTAATATTCTTTCATTCAATTTACTTAAGGGCTCTACTAAGTTAACTAGTATCATGTCCTTCTCAATTGCTTATAAGCAAGTTCTCCAAGACTATAATATATATAACATAATCTTGTTGGAGTGAGCTTCCAGTTTGAATTTTGAAAATACATGATGACCAGCATATCACATTGTGTCCTTTGAAAAATTAAAGCTGCACCACAGAAGCTTCTACTTATGGCCTGGGCCATCTTTTTCTTTACCACCTCATCCCTATTTCCTTTTATCCTAATCAGCCTATATGCCTCCAAACTGTGCCTGTTCTCCTCTTTCCTACAACCCTTCTTTCTATGACATGAGCTAGAACGATAAAAAAAGACAAATAGATGCACATTTCAAGCCCTTGTTTGGAATACCTCCGCAAGCTTTTTGAGAAAGACTCATCTTTCATTGAGTCAGCAGCAAAATGAATGTAATATTTCATAGCTTTTCAAGTCCGGGAATGACTATTGTTCTTGTACTTTGTTACGATGAATGCTTGGGCTTTCTCAAGTCTCAACTATGAATAAAACAAACTCTTTTGCTTAACAAGCTAGTTTTATTCCTTTCTATCTTGCTCTTTAATATATTAAACTTATGTTTATGTTGCAGAATGTTCGTGGTTCTGTAATGCTCCCTAATGGCACAGGAAAGGTACTGGCAGTATATTTTGTCTTACTTTGAGCATTTATTGATAGTGGTATATATATATACTTACAGTTCTAATTATTTCTGTAGACCGTTAGGGTAGCTGTATTTGCAGAAGGAGCGGCAGCAGATGAAGCTAGAGAAGCAGGAGCTGATATAGTTGGAGGAGATGCACTCATTGAGGAAATAAAGGGTACCACATTAGTACAACTTTTGGCTTGCATTCTTTAGAACACTTGGAGGTCTTTCTAGCCTATATACAATTATCTGACAAAGTTAGCTTGTGGTTCAACTCACTGGGGTCCTCTGTCCAGAATCTCCAGATTTATAACAATTAATTCAATCTACCATATATAGTTTCCATCTTTCATGCCCAGATTGGTGTTTTTTGGTGCATAATAGTCCCGGGCACATTGATCAGAAGTATGGCCACTGTGTCAAGATGACCTTATTGTTTGCCTTTTTGTTTACTGTTATAAATTTTCGACATATAACTTCAGCATGCATGTGCTTGAACATAAACTTTCACATCTGAAAGAGAGATTCTATGATCGCTGCTGCAAAGCTCAGACTCTTTGGCGTCCTTTTTATTTCTTTAATGTACATATAAAGGCACAGAAACAGCTGCATAATCAGGGTATCCTTGATTCCCTGGGCAGGCTGCCCTTTTAAATATTCTACCTTTGTTCTTAGTAGTAGAGACAAGAGAAAGATGAAAAGTAGGTCTGCATGATAATAAGAAAACAAAACCTAACATATCATCCTTGGAACTTTGGTGATTTCCGTATCACTTTTGTGTTATGCTGCAACTGGACCCTTAAATCTCGGTAGTTGTGGTACGGAAAAGAGAATCCACAAAGATTTTTTGTGACAATTTAAAGGTTTGTCTTAGAAGCCTTGTCTGTATTGTTGAAGGTAAAAGTTCTTGCTATTAGAATGTAGCCCATCTATTAAAGCAGATGACCGCGTTCGATGTCAGTCCAAGTTTCTTTCATAGAACAATGACGGTGAACCCCAAGCCTCTGTTCTTATACCATTCACCTCTCTTCTTGAGAAAAATCAAAGATTCAATGAATGTTGGCATCAATGAATGATTAT